CCCCCCCCGTAAACAGTAAAAAGAAAAAAATGTAATAAAAAAAATAAATAAAAAATAAAAAATAAATAAATCCTGGAGGGGCATTTTTGCAGATCGCACTGGACCGGAACGCAGGCACTAATGTGCCTGCGTTCCGGGTGCGGGCGATCGCACTGCGGGTGAGGAGCATGGCTGCGTTGCCATTGACTTCAATGCACGGCCATGCTCCCTCCCCCCAGAATGCAGGTGGTTTTTTGTTGGTAGATCTCATTGAGCTTGTCATTTGAAAAGTAGATCTCCGACAAAAAATTGTGGGCGCCCCTGGCCTAGACTGTCCTTGTGGATTGAAATATATTGGTCGCACCACTAGAAAATTAGGAATCAGGATTAAGTATATGTATATACAGTAATATCAAACGAGGATACAAAGACCATTCTGTGTCCAAACATTTTTTAGATGTACATCGTAAAGATTCTAGTGTATTACAATTTTGTGGAATAGAGAAAGTATCTAAACATTAGAGGGGGGGTAATTGGCGACAGGAACTGGCCAAAAAGGAAACCCAGTGGATTTTCAAAGCCGGTTCATTAAAACCGCCTGGATTGAGTGCTAAATTTGACCTTGTTTTATATCTAATGCCTAATAGTGTTTTTTTATATTTGTTTTGTCATATTTACTTTTTATTTTCCATCCCTTGTGGGTTCTTATATATTACATGCCCTACTCCCCTTCCTCTGTGTTCTTGCTGATTTACTAGTCCATCCACATATGCCTGTTTTGCTGCTTGTTTTGATACATCGTATGTGGATATACAGTATGTGTATATGTATGTATGTATATATATATCTATATATAGATATATATAGATATATATAGATATATATACACACACTATATTACCAAAAGTATTGGGACACCTGCCTTTACACGCCCATGAACTTTAATGGCATCCCAGTCTTAGTATGGTTCAATATTGAGTTGGCCCACCCTTTGCAGCCATAACAGCTTCAACTCTTCTGGGAAGGCTGTCCACAAGGTTTAGGACTGTGTCTATGGGAATGTTTGACCATTCTTCCAGAAGGGCATTTGTGAGGTCAGGTACTGATGTTGGACGAGAAGGCCTGGCTCGCAGTCTCCGCTCCAATTCATCCCAAAGGTGTTCTATTGGGTTGAGGTCAGGACTCTGTGAAGGCCCACCCCAGATTCACTCATCCATGTCTTTATAGACCTTGCTTTGTGCACTTGTGCGCAGTCATGTTGGAACAGGAAAGGGCCATTCCCAAACTGTTTACACAAAGTTGGGAGCATGAAATTGTCCAAAATGTCTTGGTATGCTAATGCCTTAAGAGTTCCCTTCACTGGAACTAAGGGGCCAACCCCTGAAAAACAATCCCACACAATAATTAATTAATTAATTTGGATACAGTGGAGAGGGATTAGAACACCTGTCAGGTTTTTATTGCTGTTGTGTGTCCCTGTACGGAAATTGTATTTATCCTGGCGACTTATCACTGAAAGTGAACGTAAATCACAAATTTTGGTTTGTCACTAATGATGTGCAGAGGTTTGGTGTGAACCCAGTTCCTCCAGAGTTCGCCCAAGCCAACGCAGAACTGTCACTGACACACATCCCTCCTGGCCCAGTCAGTTGCAGCCAGGACTGTCCCTCTGCCACAGCTACACATCACAAAGGGACAAGGAATTCCCCTGCCACAACTGATTGGACCTGGAGGAGGTGTCGGTCACAGTTTTGCACAGGCTTAGGTGAGTTGGGTTCATACCAAACCCCCGCAGATCCATAGTTGTCACCAGAACAGGAAAAGGTGGGAAATCTTCCAGTGGGGATGCTAGTTCTGGTGACCATGCTGACCACAAGGGATTTCCTTTGCTTTGGATGTCATTTCCTCCAATTTCCTGTTGTGGCTATAAGACAGGGAGTGAAGGGGAATCTCCCCAATGGGACATACAGTAGATGATAAAAGCTGACATGGGTTATAACCCTCTCTTATTCTATCAAAAAACAAAGTTTTGGCCTTGGTTCTACTTTAAGTGAGGCCTAGAGAAATAGGCCTTTGCAGGTCTCTACAGTGTTCATGATGCCTTTAATCTGAAATTAATGCTGATGAAAAGCAATACATTTCAATCACTTGTGCCACAAATGTGACAATCTTGCCTATATTGCTAGTCATTTATGTCAAGGTCCCCTTCTTTCTTCCCTAGTGTGAGCTGTGGAAAAGCCATTTCTAAAAACATAGAATCGATGGACTCTTCAGCACCACCTAATGATGCAGAAAAAAGCCAAGATGCAAAGGATCTAGCTGCAAAAGCTTTTTTAAACAGGCAGACGAAACATGGTGAGTGCCACTATCGCTAGCTATATTCCCATTGCACTCCTTCCTGGGAGAAGCCTGGAGTGTGCTACAGCAACAATCAGCTGGATAACCCATATAAAACAAATAAAATGACAGTGTGATGTGATCACTTAAAAAAATTATTGGACTTCATGACAAGAATTTAGTGTGTGCTTAAAGGAGAACTATGAGGTGAGTGATTTTCACTCAACCTCATAGTTCGAACCGACGTGTGACAATGAAACTGTCACACGTCGGCTCAATAGATCGGGAAGTGAGCGAACACATACAGTCACTTGCTCACTTCTCGATCATCTCCCTTCAGAGAGCCGTGACTGTCACTCACGGCTCCCTGCAGGGATTCTCCCCCCTCTGATCCTCCAGCGCTTACTGGCGGAACCGACGGGGGAAGGGGCAGGTACTGCTGGCTCTGCCTCTAGATGGGCAGAGCCATCTGTCACTCACGCAGCTGGGTGGATCTCAACCAATCCCGGTTGCGGCAGTCTCAGTATACCGCGAGCTGTAGTTCGCGAAATACTGAGCTTTGGGTCACAGGAGGACGCTAGATAAATGTCCTCCCGTAACCCTTAGAACTATGGGGAAAAAAATCTTACCCCATAGTTCTTTTAAGAAAAGACAGCCCAAAGCACATTTAAACCTTAATAGGTTATTAAAATCAGGCTCCACAGTCCAGGGAAAAGTCCATAAAGGATACTACCACCATCTTGCAGCTCTCACAAATATGGATCATCCTGGCATATTCTAAAAAAACTGAGCTCATCTGATGGTGAAGAAATGGTTTTTAGTAGGGATGCACTGATACTAGCATCAGATGGCCGATTTTCAAGTTCAATTAACCGGTTAATCAGGATATAAAAAAATGGCTCCAGTGATGGGACTACTAGTTTGTATTGAGATTTGCGGGCGGGTCTGGCAGTGGCAAGGGTGAGGCAGGGAGGAGGTGCGGTGTGTGGATGCGGGCGGGCGGGTCTGGCAGCGGCAAGTGTGAGGCGGAGAGGAGGTGCTGCGTGTGTGGAGCCGTGAACAAAGCCAACTAATCGAAAGCCGATTAATTAATGATTGAAAACGTTGACAACTTGTTCAATCATTGATTATAATCAACTTAGTCGATTCGTTGTTGCAGCCCTACATTCATCCCCAATTTCTGGGGACAGTCCCCGGATTGAGGAGACCATCCCCAGACAAATTATGTCCCTAGGAATAAACCATTTTTGTTTTTAATACTCACCTAATCCCTGGATCCACCAACAAGCGCAGCCTCCCGTCTCCCACTCTGTCAGAAGCGACATACAGCGTGTGCTGGTTACTACTTAAACCAGAGCACTGTGTGCAGCTTCTGAGAAGATACGCTATTAGCACAGTAAGGAAGCCGGCTGCGCATTTTGCATAGGTCGCACACGCTGTATGCAGTTTCTAACAGCGTGGGAGACGGGAGGCTGCACTGTTTGGTAGATCCAGGGATTAGGTGAGTATTTTTAAAAAAAATTTAGAGCCGCATCGTATGCGGGCCGGCCGGGTGCAGGTGGGTCGGTGACGGGGCCGTTTTTAATAGCATCAGAGAGGCCCGGGGGCAATTGCCACCCTGCCCCTGGCCCAGTCCGCCACTGCCGAACTCCTTCGTCTGGATGTAATCTCCTCTCCACTACTCCCTATCATCTTGGGATTGCCCTGGTTAACAGCACACAACCCGCTGGTGAACTGTGAAATGAGTAAAATAAAGGTGGCCATACACTTTACAACCATGTAAAGTAATTTAAAAAACGCACGATCTTGGACAGGCAAGATCATACTTGCGATCATCGCAAGCCCGCCCCCCTGAGGCGGGTACGACTATTCGATTATCGGACGAAAAGTTTCGTCCGATAATCGTAAGGTGTATGGGCACCTTTAGTCCCAGGCCAGAGCACCTTCATGCACCAGCCTTGCCCTTTTTATCTCACCTGAATAATCAATCATCAATTAATCAAACAATCAAGGTGAGAGACAAAATAAGAACTGTATTACCCAGACTAGACATGTGCACCAGCAAAAAATGTGTTTAGTTCAGTTTCGTTTTGATTCGGATTTTGCATTATTTTGTTTTTCGGATTCGGATCCGAAATTAAATTTGTTTCGGAATTCGGACGAAATTCGTTAGCAGTAGTCCGGTAGAAGTTTTGTTTTTGGACGAAATTTAGTTGCAGCAAAATACTTGTACGCCTACCATTCACTAAAGGGTTAAATCAAATAGTAAAAAGCCCAGACTTTTGATAAAATCCTTTCATTGAATAAAAAAACAGACAATTTTTGACTATTCCTTTAATTTAGAGCTGGTAATGATTAAAATTTTCGTGTTCGATTAATCACATTTTTTTAAATCGATTAATCGATTAATTTGGATTAATTATACAGATCCAACTACATTGGCCTATACACATACAGCACAGCAAAGAAGTAATAAAATGGACTAGGATCGCACTAATCCAGCACGTTCTTAATCTCACGTGCCCCACTCAATATGGCCGCCGCTTGAGTGGGGCAACTCAGAATAATAACGTGTATGGAAAGCATGTAGTGACCCCCATCACATACAGACAAACAGCATGTAGTGACCACTCTCTCTGGACATTGTGTTCCCTAATACACACATGCAGCAGCCAGTACAGACACTCAGGGCCTCCCCATCAGACACCCCCTGTTCATGCTGCCCTGATTCAGGCTGTAGTCCCCTCACCTGGCAAGCTCCCTATCCCTTATCCAGGTGCAAAAGCCACCTTTGGCAGCTGCCCTTTGGCCCCACAACAATGACTGGGCCCTGGGCAGCTGCCCCTTTTGCCCTGTGTTAAAGACGGCCCTGACTGCAAGGCTCACGTGTTTGTGACCCCTACGTGCACTTTCTCAGGACATTAGCTGCCCTAGCTGAGGTAGCCCTTGTATTGCCGACAATGCCTTGACTATATTTGTTTATCAATTCTATGTGTCCCCATCTGTTTGAATGTAACTTTGTAAACCTCAAAATAAAGAATTTATTTAAAAAAAAAACCCCATCTGAATTCAAGCTAGTCTTGCACATATGAGAGAAATAGAGGGGAAATATATCACCCCTCGATGATTTCCCCGTTCCTTATGTCACAATATATATAATTATAGAGTTTATGCTTGGCAGAAGATAGTTTATTGAATAGAGGAAATAGTTAATGTTTTGTTTTCCACCAAGCAATGCCCTCAGAGGGGAATTTATCAAAACTGGAGCAGACAAATCTGGAGCAGCTGTGCATGGCAACCAATCAGCCTCTCTCTTCCATTTTCAAACCTTAACTAAACAAACTAAAGAGGGAAGCTGATTGGTTGCCATAGGCAACTGCTCCATATTTTGTCTACTCCAATTCTGAAAAATTCCTCCCTCAGTGTTTCTAGCTCACAAACACAAATCCCTCACCCTTCACAACCTCTCCTAACATTACAAAGAAGGAGAAGCTAGAAGAAAGTGTAAAGAAGCTAATAAACCTTAACCCAAGTAAAAGCAATTAAAACCGCAAGAAGCATTTCTTAATTTAATTATTTTTTTATGCTATGTGAATGGGAACATGTAACAAATATAAATGGGTGTTATCCCAATTTGGCTGCAAAAGTGGAAATACACTTTAAATAGATAGCTTAGTGAAATGCTTTTACTCTTTGCCTTGTTTTTATTGTTATGCTTTGTTTTTGTAGATGAGCAGCCAGAAGTCTCATTCTGGAGCTGTGCCTTCACATCCCTTTTTGGTTGGCACTTAGTTTGGATTTCTCTCATGCAACTCAGGCACTACCTATTCATTGGAACTTTAAACACCACCATCACCCATCTGAGTGGAGGAGACCTGCACACAGGTTTGTACTAAGTATCAATGTACTGTATATACTTTTTGTGGAGTTACTTAGTGCACTTCAATACCCTCCCTGCACACCCTTAAAGTCAGACACTTATCTGTCCCTGCTTTACTTAGTCTTGACTGTGCAATGATCCACACACCTCTTCTTTAGCATCTTCACTGCAGCAATGTGCTTCTCCTGCACATGTGTGACACAGTCTTCTTTCATTCCAATGAGATTCATCTGGCTGTCGTGACTCCTACTACTTTACAGTCTTTATACTTTCATTGGCCCTGAATTATAATGTTCTTGTCAAACCTCAACAAACCCACAAAGACCCTGTGACTTGTAAATATTGTAGTATAGAACTCCTAATATGGATGTAGAACAGGGTAAACTTCATAGTTATGTCCTCAATAGGCTCAAATACTACCACAATTAATGCTTCAGAACCCAGGTAAGGTTCCAGGGAGGACATAAATTGTGAGGCTGACGTCGAAAACCCTCTAAAGGTGGCCATAGACCTTACAACCATCGCAAGACTTTTGTTGAGGGGCATGCTTCCGATGACTGCAATTCTGAACGGGCAGTGTGCGCTTGTGCACACCGGCCCGTTCGGCATTTGGCTTATGAGCATGCCACAAACCCGCCGACAATCATACGATTCTCGGCAGGTTTTCAAACATGCTTGTAAGACAAAGTCATGCGACCTTACAGTAGCAGAGGTCGGACGCCTTCCATACACCTTGCGATTATCGTACGATCGCGGGATTTCCCCGCGATTATCGTACGATAATCGCAAGGTGTATGGGCACCTTTAGAAATCATTTGATTAAAGGGTGCTCCGCTAATTTGAAATTAGAAAAAATATGTGCAGAAAAGTGGAATTTAGAGGTGCTTGGGTCCAGCCCCTTTTACAGACCTGCTTAGAAAAAAATTAAAGAGGAATTCCAGTTTTTTTTTAAAAATTAACCCTTGCAGTGGGGATACCCCTTGTTAACTGCTTGTTTTGGTCTATGGGCTGTAATACAGAAGATAAACTCACCTGATCCTCAGTCCTGGACTTTATTTTTTTTTTGTTTGAGCACCTAGACGAAAATGAGTAGTTAACCTTTACAATGCAGGGGTAGCCGCACTGGGCCCCAGTGGGCCATGGATCTCAGTAGCAGCTCTGGAACCTTATATTTAAATTTTAGTTACACACCCTTTCCTTGCCCCCCCCCCGCCGCA